TTCTTTAAACAGTCATCTGTTCTTGGGTACTTGGGTTGTTTCCAGATTCTGGCTATTGTTAACAGTGCTGCAATGACCATACAGGTTCAGATGTCATTTCTACTGTGGTCTTTTTTTTGTACTGCCACCCAACCCCGGATATATTCCCGGAAGTGCTATTGCTGCATGATATGGAAGTTCAATTTCAGTTTTTGAGGAATGACCATATTGTTTACTAGAAAGGCTGAACCAGTTAGTATTCCCACCAACAATTAATGAGATTCCGTTTCTCCCCACATCTGTGGCAGCACCAGTTGTTCTTCTTTTTGATGTGTGCCAGTCTCTGTGCTGTAAGATGATATCCCATTGTTGTTTTGATATGCATCTCCCTGATGATTAGCGATATAGAGCATTTTTCATGTGCCTGTTGGCCATTTGTATTTCTTTTTTGAGGAAGTTTCTTTTTTTGATCGGATCGGAGGTTTTTTCTTGTACAGTTGTACTAATACCTTATATATACTGGATATTAACCTCTGATCTGATGAGTAATGGGTAATTTTTTCCTTCAGTGGGATCTCTCTGTGTGTTGGTCACTGTTTCTTTTGAGGTGCAGAAGCTCCTTGGTTTAATGTAGTTCTATATGTTTCTGTTTGTTTCCACTTGCTAGGTCAGTGGTGTTTCATCCTTAAAGATGCCTTTAGCTTCAATATCATGGAGGGGTCTGCCTACATTTTACTCCATGTGTCTTATGGATACAGGTACATTGAGGTCTTTAATCCACTCTAATCTGAGTTTTGTTCCTGGTGTTAGACAGAGGCCTCAGTTCAATTTTTTTCCAAGTAGCTGTCCAATTTTCTCAGAACACTTGTTGAAGAGGCTTTCCTTGCTCCACTTCACATTTCTTGAACTTTTGTCAAAGATTAAGTGATAATATACTTGATAGTCTGTGTCACAGTATTCCATTGGTCTGCAGGTCTGTTTCTATTCCAATACCATGCTGTTTTAATTACTACTGCTTTGTAGTACAGTTTGAAGTTGGGGAAGGTGATGCCACTCATCTTCTTTTTCCCAAGGATTCCTTTGTGTATTCATGGGGGTTATTGCTCCACAGAAATTTCAGGAGGGTTTTGTCTATTTCTTTGAAGAATTTCATGGGTATCCTTATAGGGATTGCATTGAATCTGTATAATGCTTTGGAGAGTGTTGCCACTTTGACAATGTTAATCCACCTGATCCATGAGCAGGGGCTGTGTCTCCATTTCCTAGTGTACTCTTTTGTTTCTTGAAGCAGTGTTTTGTAAGTTTCTTTATATAAATCCTTCACATCTTTAGTTAAGTTGATTCCAAGGTAATTGATTTTTGAGGCACCATTATAAAAGATTTTTTAAAATATTTCTTTCTTATCATTATTTGTATATAACAAAGCTATCAACTTTCAGGTGTTGATTTTCTTTACTATGCAAACACTTTACTATACAAAACTATTGTTTCTGGGAGACCTTTTGTAGAGTCTTTAAGATTTTCTAAGTATAGTATCATGCCATCCGCAAATAGTGATAGCTTGAACTCTTCCTTCCCTATCTGGATTCCCTTGCAGGATATGAAATTGTCTCCTGCACTTGAGGATATGATACCCCAGTTCCATGTACATTATGAGTAGCTCTTGACACATTTCCAAATATAACTTTTGAGCTGGGTAGAAGAGCAAGGGGTGAACTTTAGGCCAGCATAATCAAACTTAATGCATTCTGTTTCACTCTAGTGACATTATCTTAAAGTCAAGTACAGGCAAAAGCAAAAAGAATGGGGAGACATGGGAAAAGATAAAATTGTGCAATTTTCTGAACTACCTGTATGGATCTGAAGAGCATATTACTGAGTGAAGTTACTCCAAGAAGGGGTGATGTAGATACAGAATGATCTCTTTCATATGTGGGATATAAAGAAAAACAGTAGGGGAATAACAAATGTCCAAAGACAATAGAAACAGAGAATATAAAGCTGGTCTTCAGTAGGAAGCATGCCACTGGGGCAGAGGTAGGATGGGGCGGGAAACATTATGACAATGGTGGAGTGGGTACTGGAAGATAGTAAAGTGTTATGAAATCATATCAGTAACAGTATTATAAATCACAGTTCTTAAAAGGTGGGGAAAGGTGCCTGCATAGAAGTAAGCAGTGGTTGGGAGGGAAACTTGGGACATTAGTAGAGGAAAGTAAAGACTGGTGAAGGTATTGGTGTTGGTATATTGTATGCCTGCATCTCTCTTATTAATAGCTTTGTAAATCACAGGGCCTTGGTAAAAAAGAAAACAATAATTCGAAGGAGAAAAAAAGAAGAGCTATTTTTCTCCATGATTGTGGCTATAAGAAAACCAGTTTGGCTTTGGTTTTGGTTGATAGGGACAACGTAGTAGAGCTGTGGTTGGTTTTGAAAGTCTGGAGTAACACCCTGTAATTCTCAGCCAGGAGTTGTATTGTCTGATAGTTTTCTGTTCAGGCACAGCAATGTGGTGTTGTTCAGATCTGGTGGTACTGGGGGCCATGAGGTCCACACTCAAGGGTCTTAGGAAGACAGGCAATGTTGGGAATAGAACTCAGTCAGTACTTGTGCATACCAGGCATGTGCTCTACCACTTGCACTATTTTCGTGCCTGCATCAGTTTTGTTTCTAAGATATTTTCCTCCCTGTGTCAATGTTCCAGACACAAATTGTCATTCTAAGTCATCAGTTTCTTTTTCAGTACAATGTGAAGTAAGCAGTACTTTCTCCGGCTAAGAGCCACCCCAAATGAACTGAGAGATCTAAACACCACTTGAGCTTAGACAGAGGGGAAAGCTGGGTCCCCAGAGAACCACTGCCTCCCTTCCTGGAATTTGAGTTTCTCAACTTATTGCACCCTCTTCTTCACCCAAAGCAAGAGAATTGGCTATAAAGACAGCTGACAGAGCCAGATTTTTATCTGTATCACCATGGGACTGCCAAATTGTCTGCCAATCTTTTTTTTCTGAGAAATGTCTACCTCTTCCTGGTATCATACCCAATATTTAGGATATTGGAGCAGGAGACTTAAGTCCTTAGAGACAGCCTGGGTGCATGACTTTCCATTTCCACTGCCATAACCTAAGATTTAATCACCGGAGAAGTCAATCACCTTCATTATTGCAGTAGGGTGCTCATAAGTACTCTTTGAACCTTGCCCCATCCTGACTCCAAACTGTTACTCGGTTGGCTTTCTGAATACGTTTCTAATCATCTGGATCCTATTGCTATTAATTTTTTGAGGTGTGTTCCCTCTTGTTCCCTTACTACCTATTCTTGTGGAAGTGTTTTTACTACTTTCTTTATTCCTTAAATATATAGTGTACTTCAACCGCAGCTGGCTGATAGTTTCCTTTTTTCTTGAATAAATTCTTGCTTTAAGAACAAATATCTTAAATATCTCTGACTTTCGAAAAGAAAATGAACCTGGTAGCATTATGAGGGCGAGGGAGACCTCCTAATGCTATAAAAAATAAAAACAGAGATGTTCAGAGAGATTAGTATATTTGCCTTTCACATATATTTGACCTGGGTTCAATTCCAGGCACCACATATGGTATCCATAGCACCACCGGGAGTGATCCTGGGTACAGAGCCAGGAGTAAGATTTGAGCACTGCTGAGTGTGTCCTAGAATAATTTTAATAATAAACAAATACCTTTGAGTAACCCAATTACATGGATTATACTAAATAAATAACATGAATTATATCATGAATTACATGGATCAACTAAATTGAATAAATTCTCCAATCACCCTGATTTCTTGTCTTCACAGACTTCACCACAATTTCAACCTATCTTTTATGGTTTCTTACTTACTCTCTGTCTTCCCATTCCATTGGAATGAAGATTATTTTGATTGAAGTTCTGTTCTTCCTTTCTTCCTTCCTTCCTTCCTTCCTTCCTTCCTTCCTTCCTTCCTTCCTTCCTCATGCTTTCATTTTTCTTTCTTTCCATTTCTCTTTTTTCCTTCTTTCTATTTCTTTCTTTCTTTTCTTTTATCTCTTTATCTCTCTCTCTTTCTCTCTGATTTTTCTATGTTCTGGCCACACTCAGTGGTACTCAGGGTTTATTCCTGGCTCTCTGCTCAAAGATCACTTCTGGTGAGCCACATAGATTGATTTTCAGGGACCAAACCTGGGTTGGCTACATGCCCTACTTGCTGTACTATCTCTCCATTCCCAATTAAGGCTCTTTTCTGTGTGTCCCCAAAACAGTGCTTAGCACATGTTAAATAACAATATTAATTAAATTAAGTACCTGATAAATTCTGTAAGTCAAAGTTAACTCTTTTTTCACAAATAACTTTATTTACTTTTACGTTTACAAATTTAATACATGCTTACATTTGGAATCTGGAAAGTACAGGTAAGAAGAAAGAAGAAATAGACACCCAAAATCTTATCACCTTAAAGCAAACACTGCTCACATTATATTCTAACCATCTATGCCTTTAGAGTGTTGACTGTGAGGCACAAAAGCCAAAGGGAGTGAAAGCAATTAACCACTGAGGGGTCACCAGCTAGAGGTCAGAGCTAGAGATTTGCTACTGAGGGACAAAATTCATAACAACACATCAAGAAGTCAGAAATTAACAACACAAGAACACATCTGGTTATGGTAATGATAAAGTGAGATGGTACTTGTCAAGAGTTTAACACTGTATCTTTTGACTAACACATAATAAATAGTAACCACTATTACTATGACTATTCTGGGTCAAAACAAAGGGTTCAAGGTGGAGACTATAAATAGGGTATGGGCCTAGAGTCCCGTTTGGGGTTTATTAGTTGAGACATATAAGGAACAAGGCTATTGGGTGAAAAGGCTGATATAGGAGTGGGTTTCACGCTCCTTAAAGGCCCCCAGGCCAAATGTAATGGGACCAAGACTTCCTCAGATTTGTCTGATGACATGTGGCAAGTTATTCTAAGGCCATTTTGAGATAAATCATGACGTGTCTTCCTAGATTTCTAAGGCCATTTTGAGATAAATCATGACGTGTCTTCCTAGATGTCTCTCTGGACCAAGAACTAAGACAACCTCAATGGTAATGGGAATTCAGGATCTCTACACAAAACACTTGAAATCTGCACTCTGATTTTAGAACAATTCTTAGGCATATAGGGTAAAAGAGAAGATCAAATCTGACAAGTGGCATTTTGTGTGGGGTGTGCCTGAAGGAGGAGCTAATGGGGAAAGGCCACAAGGTTTATGATATATTTAAATGGAATGGGTTCAGAAACCAGTCCTCAAGTTAGCAGCTGAGCCACATATAACAGGAGAAGAATTCAGAGGTCATTTCTTGTCAGGATCCCTGCTTTTTCGAAGATGTTCTTGCAGGCTCTTTAGGGGATCTTCATGCTCTCTCAGGTAGAAATAGCGTTTAGGAAAATTCCGGTTCTAGGAGTGAAAAAAGGAGCAGAGATTTTTAAAAAGAAACACACTTACTATGACAATGACTTTTGTGCTTGGATAATTTAAATATCTTAGCAGATCAAGTAACATGGCTAATGCATCTTACTTGTCTGACTGTGACTGAGAACTATGTGGATCAAACTCCCTAATGGCCTGAAAAATGACACACATGATTACAGGTGGTAACCAGTCTCCAGTAACCAAACAACCTCCCCTTTAGAAATAGAGAGTTGAGACAGACCTGTTCTCTCTTGCAGAAAATTCTTTCAACTATCCCAAGACCTTAGTAACTTGCTAAGGAGATAATTGCTACTCAAAGTGGTTACTACAACTCAAATAATTGCCTAGCCAAGCCCACCTTTGATTCCAAGTAGATTTTTCTATTCTACATCATTAACTCAATGCTTCTCCTTGCCTCTTTCTTATTCTACTCTCAGGAACAGAGTATATTTCCCACCTCCTCATTACCTCTTCATTTCTCTGCTCAAAAGTCTTGAGTACATTACCCCATCATTACCTCGTCATTCTGCTGACGAGAACTCGGATTACCATTCAGTGTTTCTTCATTAGTACGGTTACGAGCTGATCCGACAACCTGGTTTGAATAGCCTTGGGAATTCTTCTCCTGAGCCAGCTGGCACTCTATGTAGAGAGACCTGTCTATCAGTTCTTTTAGGCTGCCAGCAACCTTCAAGAAGATCTGGCTCATTTTGGTGGAAACAGCTTCTGAGAGTCCTTCCAGGAACCTGGTCTGTAGAATGGCTTCAGACCAAGACAAGTGTTGGGCCAGCAATAGGAAGTCAGTGGCATACTGCCTGACAGACTTCTGGCCCTGCTTGGGATGGCAAAGAACAGCACTGAGGATGTCTATATTGGATAAAGAGTCATATAAGTACTTTGATCTTCTCAAGAACAATGCATTTTTACCCAAGACGGTGGCTCCTACTTCCATCTGCAAAATAGACCACCTCTCTGCTCCTCCCAAAAGAATAGAGATTAGAAATGCCATTTTTTCTGAATTATTCAAAAACACCCTAATCTGTTTCTCTTTACTGATATCTGCCTCCTCCTCTTTAGGGCTCGGATTTTGAGTTCCGTAGCCTTCTAGGAGGCAGTGGAGACTTGGGGTCAGCATGCCTAAGGATGGTACTTCCTCTCGCGGAGTTTTTTTTTTTTTTGCCGTGGTCGTCTCATGTGGTGTGGACTTTGATTGAGAGGCTGTGACATTGATGTGAGAGGCAGATGTTTCTTCAGCGTCTGTGGTTTTGGTTTCCAGAGTGAACATCATTCCAGACATTGTGGCTGTCATTTGTGGTGTGGACGTGGTGCCCAGGTTTGGGTTCCTTTCTGGTAGCATGCATATTTCCCCAGAGGATGTGACTTTCATCTGTGGCTTGGACATCCCTCCAGAGGTTGTGGCTCTCAGAAGAGGCTCAGACATTTCAGAAATCGAGGATCTCATTGGTGGCACAGGCATCCCTCCAGAAGGTGCATATGTCATTTGTGGCACAGACAGAGGGCCAGAACTAGCAACTCTAGTCTTCTGTGCAGACTTTGATCCTGGGGTCGTTTTTTTTAGTAGTGGCACTGATACTTCTCCAGAATCCACGGCTGACATCGATGGTCTTGGAATTTTTTCTGGGGCTATATCTCTCCTTGTTGACTTGGATGTCTCCCCAGAGGACCTGGCTATCTTCTGTGCAGTAGGCTTCTTTGTGGGAAATGTGGACACCACTTCAGTGGCAGTTCCTCTCTTTGGTGGTGCACACATCATTTCAGAGACCGGGGCTCTTACTTGTGGTATGGCCATCATTCCAGAGGCTGAAGCTGTTACAGTTGGTGGATGCATATCTCCAGGAGCTGTTTTCATGTGTTGTTTTGGCATTATAGGTGATATAAAAGGTGCCCCAGTAGATGAGGCTCTCATCTGTGGTACAGACACCCCTCTAGAAGCTCTGGCTGTCACTGGAGGCACAGACATCATTGTTTGAGAAACTTGTGGTGTGGGTATCACCGTATAGACTGAAGGCCACGTTTGTGGCATAGGCATCATTCCAGAAGCTGTGACTGTCATCTGAGGAGTTGACGTTTCTCCAAAAGTTGGAGGTCTTGGAGGTGTACCTATGTCTTCAGAATATGGGAATCTCACTGACGGTGAGGTTATCTCTCCAGTAGACAGTTCTGTAGTAAACAGTGATGACATCTCGATGGGGTCTTGGGCTTCCGTTAGTGGTGTGGACATAATTCCAAAGCTTGGGTTTCTCATTGTGAATATAGACATGGTTTCAGAGGCTGAGGATCGCATTTGCAGTGGAGGATTCCCTCCAGAGGGAATGGATCCCATGTACAATGTGGACATAGCTTCAGAGTCTTGGGTGCCCATTGAATGAGTGGGTACATTTGCAGAAGTTTTAGTTATCATTGTTGTCATTGGCATTGCTCCAAGGCTAGAGGTTCTCATCAGAGGTGTAGATATACCTGCAGAGTTGGTGTCTGTCATATGTAGCATGGATATGGGTCCTGATGCTGTGTTACTCATTATCATTGAGGGCATCTCTCCAGAAGTTGCAGTTGTCATGTGCTTCATGAACATAGCTTCTGGGGCTTTGGAACTCATTGGTGCCTTGGGCAAGGTTTCAGAGGCCAGAGTTCTCATTTGGGGCATAGACACTGCTTCTGCTGTTGTGTCTCTCATTGCCAGTGTGGGCCTGGCTGTAGAGGCTTTGGCTATTTTGGGGGGAGTAGACACTGTTGCAGAGGCTGAGGCTCTCTTTCTTGATTCAGCTGCTACTCCGGAGATTGTGGGTCTGTATTGTGGCACAGATATGACTCCAGAAACAGGGTTTCTTATCTGCAATGTGGACGTTGAACCAGAGAATTGGGCTGTCAGTTGTGGTATAGATATAGTTTCAGAGACTGGAGCTTCAACTGGCTTTCTGGACATTGCTCCAGAGACAGAAGCTCTCCTTTGTGGTGTGGACCTGGATTTAGAGGCTGATGATCTCTTACAAGATGTGGATGTTCCCCTCTTGGCTGAAGATTTTGAAGAACCTCTAGAATTTCTGGCCTTTGAGGACTTTGAGGGCATCTCTGTAGAAGGTGCAGTTGACATCTGTTCCATGATCACTGGTCCAGAGGTTGTGGCAGTCATCATTGGGGCAGATGAGCTGGCTCCAGAGACCAGAACTGAATTTGGCAATGTAGGCATGTTTCCAGAGGCTGAGGTGCTCATTTGTGTCGACATTGCTCCAAGGTTTGAGGGTCTCACAGACAGTGTGGACATTACCCCAGAGGCTGTTGCACTCATCATTGTAGTAGACATAAGCTGAGAATCTAGATTTTGTGTCAATGGCGGGGTCATTACTCCAGCTCCTTGTACTGGCATCAGCTGGGTGGGTCTCACTCCAGAGGTTAGAGCTGAGAATAGTAGTGGGGACATCACTCTAGCATCTGGAACTTGTGTTGGCAATGAGGACATTTCTCCACCACCAGAAACTGGTACGAATGGTGTAGATGTCATTTCAGAGCCTTGATTTGATGTGAGTGAAGAAGACACTACTGCAGGGTCTGGACCTGACATTGGCTGGGTAGACATTTCTCCAGAATCTTGTGCACGCACTTGCTCAGTTTCTGTTGCTCCAGAAGCTATGGTTGACGCTATCATTGCAGATATCGCTTCACTGTCTGTGCATGAATTTATCAGTGAATGTATATCTCCAGACTCTACTGCAGCTAATAACACACTGGACATTGCTTGCATGTCTTCATCAGTAACTTCCACTTGTGATATTTCTACAGAGACTGGAGCTGGCATGGGCTGTGCGGAAGCCGCTTCAGAGTTTGCATCTTCGATTAGTAGTGAGAATATTTCCCCAGGATCTGAGGGCCGATTCAATGGAGCTGACACCATATCAGAGGATGAGGTCCCCTCAAGTGCTGTAGGCATTACTCCAGAGGCTGAAACTGGCAGGGCCAACTGTGATGCCTCTGTAGAATCTGGTGCCTGGGACGTTGGTTCAGAGTCAGGAATTGTCATCAGCCCTGGGGATACTAATCCATTGTCAGGAGTGGAGAGCAGTGGTGACAATGGTCCAGAATCCGAGGTTGGCATTAACAGTGGAGAGAGTGTCCCAGAGTCTGAGGTTGGCATTAGCAGTGGAGCTAGTGCTTCCGAATTTGAAGCTGGCAACAGTAATGGACACAGTGCCTCAGGGTCTGAATTTAGCATAACTGGTGGAGAGTTTGGTGCTTCCATGAGAGGTGCCATCATGGTGTCAAGATCTGGGTGTGTCGGTTGTGTGGACATCCCTGCAGGATCTGATGCTGAAGTTGAGGCTGTAGGCTCTGCATGAGCATTTAGCATTTGAAGATCTTCTCCAGAGTCCATCATTGGTCCAGAGAAGATGGACTCTGTGTTTTGGGAGTCGGCATTTTCCTCCTCTGGCATGTTATTTGGTGAATTTGAATGGTTTGACATGTTTTCCATGACCACAAGATTGTGTGGAGGAAGCTGGAGTTCTCCAAAGTTGGGTCCTGCTGAAGGACACGTGGCAAGAAATCTGTAAACAGGACACAGTTTAGCAATGAAAACCCAATGTCAAGAAGATTTGGAACTAGACAAATTATTCATAAGGAAGACCTGTTTTCTCTGTGCATCCAGCTATGTGGTATTTGTTAAAGAACTTTCAGGTTAAAGAAGTGATATTGCCACAAACAAATGGAAGTAGGATCAACTATTACTTCTGTCTCTATGCTTTTCAATCCAACCCACTCACATAAATCAGTATCTGAGATTAGTAATACTATAAGTCTTAATAAATTGCAATATACATATATGTGATGCTCTATTTATATGTGATGCCAGCCAGCTGTATTCAGAATCTACTGAGCAATCCTGGATCAAATAAAGAAGCAGCACCATCTTCTGGACAACTATGAGATGTTCTGGCTATGGGTCTGTTCTATCCCTAGCAGTGCACTCACAAGAGAGCCAAGGATTGGCGGGCTTGGATGGGAAAGTTCTTCACCCTGGGATAATTATTAGTTTCTAGGTCTCTTTGATTTCTGCCAGTGGCTTAATTCTCATATTACTACTCTAATAGCCCCAAATGTTTTCCTTAGGAAAAGAAAGACATTGATCTGCTTAATGACTGACTAGAAGTAGCATTCTATGAACTGAAAACCCTAACAATTATTATTATCATTATTCTTATTAACAATAACAAAAGCCCATACAACTACCAGTGATTGTTCACTTGGTGTTGCCCACTCATGGTATTTTAAGTAACTGTGCTGTACTTTAAACTGCCCATAACTAACACACAGGGCTTAGCAATCACTGATCTTATAATGCCCTGCATAATAAGCACTCTTATTATTTGTCAAATTTTCTCAAATTATTGAGGCTACAACACCATCAGACTATAAGACTTTGACTATCACCCCTTCCTTGGGGTTGCCCTCCCTTTGTCATCCCTAAGATTGTATACAATGATCTTTCTGACATTATAGAACTTGATTTAATCAAGATTTTCCTAGTCTATGATGCCTAGATCACCCTTGACCCCAGAGTTTAGGGAGAATAAGGACCTAGAGGAAAATGCATCAAGGGCATAAGGAAGAAAACTAGAAAGGGACATAATGGGGGAACCGGGGTAAGGGCTTCATTTATACTTGTAACATGGAGAGTGGAATAGATCTAAATTCAAAGCAGAGATTCAACAACACTGAAAACATGAGAAAACATGAGCTGCTACTGCCAAACTTTCTAATCCCTATCAAGGTGACAGGCAGTAGTGGGGCAGGGGGGTGGGGGATGAAGTATGAGAGCACTGCTGGAGGGAAGTTGACACTGGTGGTGGGATTAAAATATTATATGTCTAAAACAATTATCAATGATGTTGTAAATCACAGTTCTTAAATTAAATAAAAATGGCTTTAAAATATTTGTCCAGTTTGTAATATGTTTCATGTTTTTGAAAAAACAATTTTCATGTTTTTGATGATATGTGAAGATCAGTCTAGAGCTTTACCCATCTAGTTCACCTCCCCTTCTGTATGCAGCTTTAGAATGGGGTTCTTGGAAAACAAACACACACACATTACACAATTGTTGACACATTCCCACATTGTGCCCATGCCAAAAATGGAACACTTGCTCATTTGGGGACAATGTCACAAAAATCATCAATCTGTGGCTTTGTGCCTCTTTAATAACACTGAGAATACTAACAACAGCAAGCATTTCTTAAGCATGCACTAATGAGCAAACACTTTTCGAGGCACTTTACATACATCAATTCATGTGGTTTCCAAAGCAACACTACATCTTGGTAATACTCGATCTTCATCTTACAAAGTAGGAAAAAAAGGCTCAGAGACACTTAGCCAATTGCCTGAAGAAATACAGATTGCCGGGTCCATCCAACTCCAGAATCTCCTCCTTTTCTCTATTGTGCTATAATGTTACATCTTGTCGCCCTATGTTCATTGTACTCAGTCACGTTACCAAGATCCCCGTCACCAACCCCAGGTAGCCAAAGAAAGGCAGATAATAAAACAAATACTGGTCTTCTGGCACCTTGGTTACTAGTAATTGGTATAATGGGAAAGATGAATCAAACGCACAGTAACAGATGTCCACTTCCCATCTTCAGAAAAGCCCCTGTACATGTCGCATTTCCCCACTAGCCAAAACCCAGAAAGATCTTACCTTGCAAATTAGGAAGAAGAGGAGGAATGTGTCTTTTGTGACCCTAGTTCTTTGAGTCTAGCCATTTTTTGCCCATACCCAGCCAGTTCATTAAAGCCAGACCTAACACCAGCAGCTGTTCTCTGCAATCTCCCTTAGTTGTCCCCTGCCACGCCCCCCTCCTGTCAGCCAGTCAGCCTTTCCGCCCACCTGCCTCGCTGCTTCTGACTTGCTAGTGCTTGCGCTGTCTCTCTATTCCCAGATTCCTGCCTCTATATAGGCTCTGACGTTTGCCTCTGGCTGCCTTTCACTTGACAGCCCTCCAGTGGCTCTGCTTTAGCACTTGGTCCATACAACTCCACCCCAATGGTTGCACCAGTCCTCTATACCAGCCTCTGGCTGCTCCGAAGAAAAGATATTCACACAGTTCAAATAATGAATCTAGAAGTCCTCTGTATCAAGAAACAGCACAAAGGAGAAGACATGAGAGTCTAGAGAACCAGGCACTATAAGCAATAGGACCTGGAAGCACAAACAGGGGTTCCTATGAAGGAAATAAGGCCTAGAGGTCAGGTAAAGCTATTAGAAATCTTCATAGGGGCTCACTCAGGAGCCAGGAAATCAGGGTTTGATACCTCCTGAGTAGTGAAAATTTAAAACTCAAATTGCCCCAGTGCCAGAGACTTGGTGGGAATTCTGGCAGCCAGTATCCCTACCTCAAGGCTTGGATTCAACAGTGAGGCTTAAGGGCTTTCAGGCAGCAGGCATGAAATGTACACCTCCCTTGAACATACTAGGCGGGACTTGCCCATAGACGCAAGACTTTAATCTCCCTTCTAGAGCTGCTTTCTAGAGCTTTCTAGAACTGCACAAGGTCAGAGAAGAACTGGAAGAAAAGTTATTAGAACTCTCTAACCATCTCAATGATATACTTTAAAATTACATACTATAGACAAGAGCAATTCCTAAATCCTAGAGAAGGAAAAGCCTTGAGGTGAAGTTCAAGCAGCCTAAAAATATGATCCAGAATCTAGGGATTTGGTGTAGGGTGAATTCAGGTCATTACAAACCTCCTCACACTCTAACTAACAACCAACAATATCTAGCCCTTGGGCTACAGCACTTTCCTTACATTAGACACTATTTCCTCTTTACCAGTGAGGAAGCAGCATTGAAGATGAAGTTCTGACTATCAACTCAAGACTAGTAAAGTGACAAAATCCCAGATTGAGGTCTGGTTCATTCTAGATCTTAAATATTTTCTCTGTAAAATCAGTTAAGTAGTTAGAAACACTCCAAAGTGCTGTACTCCTTGCTGCCTTCCTGATCCCATGTCTACCAATGATTGAGTCATTGTAGAACCATCATCATTAAAATATTAACTCTTTAACTGAATTCTTTCCATAAGAACTGTGCTAAGGGAATGGAGCAATAGTAGAGTGGGCACAGTGTTTGCTTCCCACACAGCCAATCAAGATTTTATCCCTGGAATTGCATATCGTCTGCTGAGCCTCAACAGAAATGATCCCTGAGTACAGGGCCAAGAATAAGTCCAGAGCACTGCCAGGTATGGCCCAAACTCCCGCTTCTCCCAAAAGAACTGTGATTAGGAAATTTACAAGCATTCTCTCATTTGATCCTAATAGCAACCCTGTGAGTTGAGGTCCTTTTTATTTCCAGTTTACAGGTAAGATAAATGCACTTCAGCAAGATAAACTGGCATGACCCAAAGAACATAGCTCTGATTCCAGAGTTCACTACTACTAAGTACACTAAAGTGAAAAGAATGATTGATCTCTCCACTTCAATAAACAAACAAAAATTCACAGAAAACACAGCTATGACAAATATTAAATATTAATAGCACTGTAGCACTGTCCTCCCATTGGTCATCGACTTGCTCGAGCGGGCACCAGTAACGTCTCCATTGTGAGACTTGTTACTGTTTTTGGCATATCAAATATACCACGGGGAGCTTGCCAGGCTCTGCTGTGTGGGCGGGATACTCTCGGTAGCTTTCCAGGCTCTCTAAGAGGGATGGAGGAATCGAACTCGGTCGGCCGTGTGCAAGACAAACGCCCTATCTGCTGTGCTATCGATTAAATATTAGTAATGATAAAAATTAACATCTACTCTATTGAGCATTATTACAAATAAGGATTATTACTCAAATAATTTTACATGCATGATCTTATCAACCCCTTATAGGAGGCACTGTTCATTTCCAGACTAAGAACCGGAGGCAGTCAGAGGTTATCAGGCATTCTGAAGGTCACACAGCTAGAAAGCACTGTTCTTTATTAAAAAATGCATTTCATAGTGAAATGAATAACTATCTTTGTGTGACAGCCATTAAAAAGGATAATCTTAATAAACTGTTATGATTTTGCTTGCAGGAATATTATAGGAAAATGCTAACAGGATTGAATGAGTGGTAGAATTAGATGTGGGGGTTTACACTTGCTTTTAGTCTGCATTTTCTTGGGGTGGAAAGATATAACAGAAGATAAGGTGTTACCTTGCATGTGGCTAACCTGGATTAATTCCACAGCACTTCACACGATCCCCCAAGAACTTGCAGAAGTGATCCCTAAGCACAGTCAGGAGTAAGTCCTTAGCATTGTTGAGTGTGGCCCAAATCCATATTTGTTTATAATGGGTTCATATCACTTGTACTGAAAAAGTTGTGTAGTCCTCAGGATTCTATCTCTGGTCCTCTTCTGGCCTACTCTCTCTAAGGGTTCTCAAAATACTTTCACTCAAGCAACTTTTTTCCCCAGGAATCTTAATGGTTT